AGAGAGGAGAGAGAGAAGAGAGGGAGGGAGAGAATGAGAGAGGAAGAAAGACGAGTGAAGGAGGTTGGTTGACAGCCGGATTGCCCGTGGGAGAGAGAGGAGAGATTGAGGGAGAGAGAGAAAAACCAAGAGAAAAGGGAGAGAGAGATCGAGAAAGAGAGAATGAGAGAGAAGAAGAAAAGAGGGGGTGAAGGAGGTGGGCCGGCGGTCGATTGGCCGTGGGAGAGAGAGGAGAGATTGAGAGAGAGATCGAAGGAGAGGGAGAGAAAAGGAGTGGTCGTCGACCCGAGAAGAGGGAGAGAGAGGGAATAAAGAGAGATCGAGAGAGAATGAGAGGAAAAAAGAGGGGGTGAAGGAGGTGGGCTGGCGGCTTAGTCGTTGGCCTGATTGGTCGTGAGAGAGAGAGAGGAGAGATTGAGAGAGAGAAGAGAAAGAGAATGAGAGAGAGGAAGAAAAGTGGGGGTGAAGGAGGTGGGCCGGTGGCCGATTGGCCGTGGGAGAGAGAGAGGAGAGATTGTGAGAGAGACGGGGAGAGGAAGAAAGAGGGGTGAAGGAGGTGCACCGGTGGCCGATTGGCCGTGGGAGAGAGAGAGGAGAGATTGTGAGAGAGAAGAGAGAGACCGGGGAGAGAAAGAGAGAGTGAGAGAGAGGAAGAAAGAGCGGGTGAAGGAGGTGGGCCGGCGGCCGATTGGCCATTGGAGAGAGAGAGGAGAGAGGCAGGGAGAGAATGAGAGAGGAAGAAAGAGGAGTGAAAGAGGTTGGTCGACAGCCCCATTGCCCGTGGGAGAGAGAGGAGAGATTGAGAGAGAGATCGAGGGAGAAGAAGAAAGGAGGGGGTGAAGGAGGTGGGCCGACGTTCGATTGGCCGTGGGAGAGAGAGGAGAGATTGAGAGAGAAGAGAGGGAGGGAGAGAAGAGAGAGAGAAAGAGAGGAGAAAAGAGGGGGTAGCTGCCAGCCCGATTGGCCGTAGGGAAGAGAGAAGAGAGAGGGAGACCAAGAGAGAGAAAATGAGAGAGTGGAAGAAAGAGGGGGTGAAGGAGGGCCGACGGCTATCGATTGGTCGTAGGAGAGAGAGAGAGGGAATAGAGAAGAAAGAGGAAGAGAGAGAAAGAGAAAGGGATGGTTACCTAGTAGGTTCCTTGGACTGAACCGGTGGCTAGGTTGGAAGTGGAGAGTTCCAAGTGAGAAGTGGGAGGTTCCAAGTGAGGAGTTGGGAAGTTATAGGGGTAGTGGCTTATAGAGAAAGTTTTTTCTCTCATCTCTTGGAATAAAAGGGGTAGAGGAAAATATTGCCAAACCAAGGGAAAATCAATTGAATTCTTGAGCTTAGGGGCCAAATCTCATTAATTCTCCTCTCCTTGAACTTAGGGTTACAAACAGTCCGATTGGTCGTAGGACAGAGAGAGAGAAGAGAGAGGGAGACCGAGAGAGAGAAAGAGAGTGAGAAAATGAGAGAGTGGAAGAAAGAGGGGGTGAAGGAGGTGGGCTGTGGCTACCGATTGGTCGTAGGAGAGAGAGGGGGAAAGAGGGAAGAGAGAAGAAAGAGAGAAGAGAGAAAGAAGAGGAAGACAGAGAAAGAGAAAGGAACCCTATTGGGCTCCTTGGACCGAACCGGTGGCTAGGTTGGAAGTGGAGAGTTTCAAGTTGGAAGTGGAGAGTTCCAAATGAGAAGTGGGAGGTTCCAAGTGAGGAGTAGGAAGTTCTAGGGGTAGTGGCTTATAGAGAAAATTTTTTCTCTCCTCTCTTGGAATGAAAGGGGTAGCGGAAAATATTGCCAAACCAAGGGAAAATCAATTGAATTCTTGAGCTTAGGGGCCAAATCTCATTAATTCTCCTCTCCTTGAACTTAGGGTTACAAATGCTATATAGCACCCCCTTTGAAACAAGGGTGGATGCTCAAAACTAACTAAAATTGCTAAAAACTACATTTATATGAATTAAATTTGAAGCTAGTTTTTGGGGCAAAATGACTATTTTGCCGCTACCCACAATCTCGAAAATGGGAAGATGGTTCCCTAAAAGGGGGCCATAGGCTATGGTGGTCATTCGGGGCTCATTTCGAGTCTTTTCGACAACCTTCCGGCAAAAAGAATGTCGCAAAAGTGATGGTCTCGGCGAGGTGATCGTTTTGACAAATCTTTTGATTGTCGAATAGAAGCGTTGAGCTCTTGGCGAAATCCGTCAAAAGATGGGGATTTTGCGCTTAGATCTAGAATCTTGTCCGTTTCTTGACATTTTAGTTTGATCTATCCATCGTGGAACGACGGGGAAGTCGTCAAGGTCGTTTGGTGACAAGAATGGCTCGATTTGATAACCGGTCCTCCTCCACTTTCCGAATAGGGGAAGTTTGCTGAAATATGGATTCCGATTTTCGAAAAATACCCTTTCTTGCAACGTCGAAATACAACCTTTTCGGTCACCTATCACGTATGATGTTTACTTTAGATCGAAGCCCTCGACGTCACGATCGCAATGGACCCTCTTTCAAGTCGATCCGAGGCCGGGGCTTTCCGTTTGATTGAAGCGATCTCCTCTTTGCAAAAATCTGTAAAACTTGAGTTTTCTTAAGCGGCTTCTCTCTAAGATTTCTTCTGTCTTGGTTCATGTCATGGGTCATGCCACATTTCGAAACGTGCGCGGCAACGAGACGAAGATCCTCCTAAAATTTGTGCTTGATCCGGCTTAAGATGAATAAGTTATGACCTTTCAAAGGTGATCTCAAAATCATATTACACAGTTTCCGTAAATGGATATTGGGTCACTGAGGGTGCGCCAGAATAGTGTGCGACCCACCCTTTTTGGGTAAGTTGGCCACAGGATGGTTCAGAAGTGTTCGAATGAGCTGAAATTTGATATCTGGAGGTTTTCGGACCTTCTGAATCCAATGGAAGTGGTCTGGTGTTCATCTGAAGCTCCGGTGATAGGGCTGTAGTTATGAGGTGCATTTTCAGCATGCTAGAGGCTGAACTTGAAAACTGGTTGTCTTTGATCCACCTTAAGGTTGTCGGATCGCGACGAAACTTGGCGGGTGTCTTACCTCCCACATGATTTTTAGGACCTATCCATCGCCTTTCAAAAATTTGCTTCAGATCATGGTTTATTTCAACAGTGCTTCCATGGTCTACTGGCATTTTGGTGCCTGTGATTAGCTTCTTGCTTATTCTCATCGGGGATACAAGTGTCGAAAAATACCCTAAAACAGCTTGCCCTGCCCAATGTTGTGCTTCGAGAGAAGCGAGAAGGACAACATTCAAAATCAAAATTGGTCCTTCGACTTTCGTTTTTCTTCTCGACCACTGGCATCAGCACGACCGACAAAGGGGAAATCGTGCCAAACTTCTTCCCTGGGGGATGACCGAGGTGCTTTGACAACTCGGGGGCCTTGTTGAAGGGCTTGTAGACCCAAGGGTGTCAAGACTTTGGGGGGAAGAAGAGACTCGAACTAGTGGTGGGGGCCTTGCTTAAGGGCTTTCTTCCCACTTTAGGAGTCCTTCTTTTTGGTTCCAACAACTGGGGGCCCTTGCTTAAGGGCTTGTTGACCCAATCAGTCAGAATGTAGGTTTGTCTGGCAGTCGGGGGCATTGCTTAAGGGCTTGTTGACCCAATCAGTCAGAATTTGGGTTTGTCTGGCAGTCGGGGGCCTTGCTCAAGAGTTTCCTTCCCAATCAGTCAGGCTTTCTTTTTTTAGTCTTCTAGTGGGGGCCTTGCTTAAGGGCTTTCTTTCCACTTCGGGAGATGTTGTGCTTTGGATAGACAGTCGAGGGCACGTAATGGGGTGTATGAATTGCTACGCCAAGGTTTGGAGTTTGTTTGACAGGTGGGGTGCCTCTTTGGGCCCCAGTCTACTGAATCCAGTCAGGGGCTTTTTGTTGGCTATCATGAAAAGTCTGTACTATCGATAGGTGGGAATTTTGGCAAGGCGGTCTCTTCGGGTTCTGAAGCCCTAGTCTTACCAGGTCTAGTCAGGGTCTTTTTGTTGGTCATTCTGAAAAGTCCTAGACCATTAGCAATTAGGAACCTTAGGGAGACTTCTGCCTTGGATGTCGGTGGAGGTATTGGTCTAGCTTGACAGTCAATTGCCTTTTGGGAGCATCTTCGGCTGGTCGACATGACTTTCTTGTTTTTGGTGCCTTCTTGAAAATTAACTCTTTCAGCATGGAGTTCCGGCTTGCCATCCTGTTGATTCTTCTGACTTGTACGTTCTTCTTATGGATTGACCCGCACTGTTGGAATTTTCTTAAGCTCTCTTTGGTTCCAGTAGCAGGGTACTCTAATAGGGGCATTGATTCCCAAGCTACTGGCCTTTTGTTTTTGTCTGGATTTATGGGTGAAAACCCGTCTGCCGTTTTTATTCATGGTGCCCTTTCGGGTTTTCTGTTTTTTCTTTGCAGAACACTCTTACTCATGACTTTTTGACCATCCCCGGGATGCCATTTTTACTCATGGTGCCCTTTTGGGTTTTCACCATGCCCGTGTTTTTTCTTTGAGAATTTTTACCCATGGTCTCACGACCATGTCTGCTCATGTTTATTTATTGTATTTACATAAATGGCACTGATTGTGGGTGATGGATGATGATGGAGGTGAACAGTGGTTTTCAAGGTGGAGATGGGCAATTGGAGTGGTAGCGCTCTTCGTAATTTTAATTGAGGCTTAAAACATGGTGAGGGTTCATTGGGGATTAAGTGAGTTTGGGGTGGTTTGACTCACTGGGGGAATGGAGTGAGCGCTCATCGTAATTTTAAATGAGGCTCAAAACATGGTGAGGGTTCACTGGGGATTAAGTGAGTTTGGGGTGGTTTGTGTCACTGGGGGAATGGAGTGAGTTTTAATGAGAGATGGATGGGGATGGGGATGGGGATGGGGATGGGGATGGGGATGGGGATGGTGATGGAGGGTGTGACTCACTGGTGAATGGAGTGAGTCTTTATGCACGATGGAGGATTGATGGTGAATGGTGAATGGTATGAGGGTTCACTGGGGATTAAGTGAGTTTGGGGTGGTTTGACTCACTGGGGGAATGGAGTGAGTTTTAATGAGAGATGGATGGGGATGGGGATGGGGATGGGGATGGTGATGGAGGGTGTGACTCACTGGTGAATGGAGTGAGTCTTTATGCACGATGGAGGATTGATGGTGAATGGTATGAAAGCTACGACTCACTGGGAATGATGTGAGCTCTTATGGGGGATGCACGGAGTGAGCATGGGATGATTGGGCTCACCGAGTGATGATGGTTTTGGTATTTGTAGGGTGTACATGAGTATGAGAGCTTGGGGTAGACTTTTAATGGGGTGTATGGTGGTATTTGGGAGTTGGGATGAAATGGAAAGAGTGTAAGAATGTGTGAGATGAACGAGTAAACGAGAAGGTGTTGAGAGGGGAGTGAACGAAATACGCATACACAGAAAGAAGTGCATGCGTGTGAGAGAGAAGGAAAGTGCGTGGAGAGGCGAAAGAGAGAGAGTGGTGCACATGGCGTGAGAGGAGATGAGAGGTGACATGCGTGGCTCGAGTCCGGCTCAGCTCGAGAGGAAGACACATGTGCGGGAATGCGCGCATGAGAGAGGTCAGGCTCGGGTTCAGGTAGAAGGCCCAGCCTGGCCCGCTGACGAAAAAGGGGGAGGAAGAGTGTGTGTGTGGAGGTGAGCGTGGGGGAGAGAGAGAGTTTCGGGCTCGGGCGTGAGGCCCAGCCCTGCCCATTTGCATCAAAGAGGGGGGAAGAAGAGAAAATAGGGTCCGTTGGGCCCTAAATAGGCCTAGAGGCCTGGTTTGGCTAACGGGTGGGGCCTCTCTTGTTAGGGGAATTTTTCTGCATGGCCTGGTGCCAGGTTCGTCTGATTTTGACACCGTTTGCCCCTAGTTGACCATTTACCCCTCCCCAAATTTTGCTTTAAAGAAGCACCTTCAAGGGCAAAGATGTCTTTTGGCTAAATCTCTTCTTCAAGTGCCCGTTGCCTTTTCTTGAAATGACCAAAAAGTGGTCATGGACTGGGTTGGGATACAAGAATTGTAGGGGGTTATGGAGGAAAGGTGAAAAGCACCTTTTTGAAGATGGGTATTTAAGAGTGGGAGAGGTTCTTATAGAGTGAGAGGAAGTGGGGAAGTGGGGAGCTCGTTTAGTTTGGAGTGAGAGGAAGTGGGGAGCTCTTTTAGAGTGAAAAAGTGGGGTTTCAAAAGGGGTTCTCTTTTTTTGCAAAGGGGCGGCTTATTGGCGGGGACATCTGGCACTCGAGAATTTGGTGAGCCCCTTTCCTTCCTTGTATTTTTTTTGTCTTTTTCCATTCTTCTCTAGCTTTTCATATGCTTTTCATTTTAGCATAATAATGCATCCTCTTCAGCATTTGAGCATGTATATATATTATTTTGCTCTTTTATGCATTTTAGCATTTCTTTTGGCATTTTTAACACTTAATTAGCACTTTTAATGCTTTTTAGGTATTTTGAGTGCTTTTTTAAGTATTTTATGTGCTTTTTGAGCATTTTACTTTGAACGCTTTTCAAGCATTCTAAGCGCTTTTTAAGTGTTATAAGCACTTTTTGGACATTTTAAATGATTTTCAAGTATTTTAAGCACTTTTTGAGCATTTTAAATGCTTTTTTGGCATTTTTAATGCTTTTGAAGTACTTTTAATACTTTTTGATCATTTTTTATGCTTTTGGAGCATTTTTACATGGATTTCACCTGAATAGAAGGGGGCTCTGCTGGGGTCCGTCTGGCTTGGTTATATCCCACAGTTCAGTTCCCTGAGCATCCTCTGGGCACCTTTTTCGTCAGAAGTCCGGTTTACAAGGGAGATGCTGCCGAATTTTTTACAGGTCCTGTATCTTCCTTTTTTTGATTCCTCCACAAGCTTTTCATATCCCCGAGCTATTTGTGACTTTTGGTTTCTCTTCCCATGTGCTTCTTCAGATCACGTGCCTCGCCGAATGACCACGCGTCGTGCGGCTAGGGTTACTGGCAGCCTTCGGATGAGAAATCCTGCAAGAAACGATACCCTAGAGGATGCCATCATTATTGCCGATGATGAACCACCTGTGGTGGTGGTTGAGGAGGATCCGGGGCATGTGTTCAACATCAATCCGGATGAACCCTCGTCTTCATTGCGGCCGCCACAGTCAATGGGAGGAGTAAGGACTCTACCTCACTCTGGTCGGGTTCTTTTTACGCCTGCCTGGTTTACTCGCGGGGGTATTGTGCCGGAGCAGCTGAGAATCTCTTTTTCCACACAGGTAGAGGGTTTAGATTACTTGAGTGCCGATATTGGCGTGATGGAGTATGGGAAAGAACTTTTGAAGGCCGTTCACCGTCTTATAGGACGATCTTCTCTCGAGGAATTGATACAACTTCCTAACCTTTTAGAGAGGACTGCGGCAAATCTGACGGCCTTTGGCGTGCCTGAGGCTTCTAAACTTAAGAAGATCATGGAGGAACTGGCTCAAGAGGCAAAAGAGATCTTGAAACTGGAAAGGCTGATTTCTCCGACGTTGAATCCCTCCATAGGCCCCCTGCTTAATTTTTACTCGGACCAACCCTCCATTTTTGGCTATGCCGAAGGTCTCCTGGCGAAGTTGAAGAGTGATCTGGCATACAGGGAAGGCTTTCATCCAACTCTCAAGGCTCATTCGCTAAAGGAAGGGGAGGATGCTGCGCTTGGTGGTATCTCCCTTCATGACAATGAGGCTGGTATGATTGTCCTCAAACATCATATTGCAGAGACGGAGGCCCTACTGTCTCGAGTTCGCGAGGAATTGAGTGACCTCCCATTGAATGAGTTGGAATCAGGCGCCTTCCCCTTATTAGTCAGGCATGCAGGTTCCCTCAAGGTAGCTGAACTGAAAGATAGGCTGGGGATCAGGCAACGTGTATTCACTGAGATTGGTGCTCACAAGGAGTGATTGGCGGATCACCCTTGTTTCCCTTTATCTTTCATTGTTAGTGCTTATCGAGACCTCAATTTTTGTTTCAATGTAAGGCTTTAGGACAAATTTCTTTGAAGATGCATGTTTTGTTCCTTAAAAAGGTGCTTTGGGATTGTGAGTCCCCAACTTGTAACCCCTAGCTTGCAATGGAATGAAAGCCTTTTCCTTCTTGCTTTAGATGACTTTGCATGGCTTCTTCGCATCTTCATGCATGGTATGCACATTTCTGCTTCTGGCTGCTGCTTCTTCAAAAGTGGCACGCCATTACACGTTTGCCCTTGACTTAAACGCCCTTTCGGGTTTTCGTTCAAGCCCTTAGGCTGTGCACCATTTTTGGCTTTTTGCAAGACCCCGTGAGATTGTTTTGTGGTGCTTTTGCCCATGGTGTTTTTACACCATGTCTGCCATCTTTGTCATTTTTTACTCACGATCCCCTTTCGGGTTTTCAGCGTGCTCGATTTTTTATTTTTGATGTCTTTTACTCATGATAGTTGATGGTGCTACCGTGCCCCATCATTTTTCTTTTCTTCTTGATTTTTGACTTTCTTACCCATGATGCCCTTTCGGGTTTTCGTCATATCCGTCTTTTGAGGAGGCAAGTTTTTAGGGTCATGCCACCAGGACCGTAAGAGTAGTGTTTTTTAAGGTCATACACGAAGACTTGAGGGCATGTTTAGGGTCGTGCCTCCAAGACCGTATGCTAGATGTAATACCTCTTCAGGTAGCGACTGTTGATAGGTGGCATGGCTTCCTTTCCGTCAGGTTGAGCCAGTACATAAGCTCCATTGGGGAAGGCTTTCTTAATCACAAAAGGCCCCTCCCATTTTGGTTTGAATTTGCCTTTATGTCGCCCATGCATGATGATGGGTCTTCGCACAACTAAGACCAATTCGCCGCAAGTGAAGGAGTGTATCTTGACTGTTTTGTCGAATGCTCGTCTCATGCTGCCCCGATGGATTTCTAGGTTTTGTTGGGATTCGAACCTCCTCTTGTCAAGCACGTCCAACTCTTGATAGCGAAGCTTGACCCGCTCATCTTCGATTATGCCATGATGTATGGCAACACAAAGCGAAGGGAGTTGAACTTTGAGCTGTAAGACAACTTCGCTCCCATAGACCAGGGAGTAAGGAGTAGGATTTGTAGCATTCCTCATGGTGGTGCCGTAAGCCCATAAGACTTTGGGAAGCTTCTCATGCCAGTTCTTTGTTTTTGAGGCTGATTTCTGCAAGATATCACAGAGGGTCTTGTTGAAGTCTTCGGCCAAGCCATTGGCTCGAGGATTGTACATAGTGGAGTACTTCCACTCAAAGCCGAACTGGTTGACCAAGCGATCTTTATATTGGCTTCGAAACTGAGGACCATTATCTGATGTAATTGGGTCTGGGACACTGAATCAATAGATGATGTGGTGGCGGACGAAGTTAGCAACCACCATCTCGAGGACATGCTTGAGAGGGATTGCTTCGGCCCATTTGGAGAAGTGGTCTGCAGCAGCAAGGATAACGACATGTCCCAAAGCTGAAGGCGGGGTCAATGGGCCCTACAATGTCCATGCCCCAGTGTGAGAAGGGCCATGATGCCATTGTGGGGTGGAGAGGTTCTGGAGCTCAACGAATGAACTTTGCTTGTATTTGGCATATTTGGCATCTCTTAGCATAAGCCAGGGAATCTGCGACCATGGATGGCCAATAATACCCAGCCTTCGGATCCGTCCATAGAGCTTGGGGGGCCGGATTGATGGAGTCCACAAATCCCAGTGTGCACCTCCTCAAGCACTTGCCCCGATTCTTTCATGTCGATACATCTGAGGAGGATGCCATCAAAAGAGCATCGGAAGAGGACATCACCTTCAAGTAGAGTGTACCTTGTGGACGTCCTCTGTATATTGTTGTGCTCGATACGATCATCTGGAAGCCGACCATGCTTGACAAAATTGATTATGGGCTCCCTCCAATCCTCAACTTGCTCAACCTCTGCACACAATGGGTCGAAGAATTTCACCTTTTGTTTTAGGCTCAAGGACTGAGGCTTGCTCAATGTCTTTCTCAGCTTTAATGGCATCTTTAGCAGCGAGAAGTGCCTCGAACGGGTAAGGTGGGCATTCTGGCACACCACACCAGCACCGCCTTGTTCTGACTGGAAGGCTGTATCAAAATACATCTTCCAATCATATGGTTCTTCTGCATAGAATACCTCTGCATTAGGGAGGTCACTTGAAAAGGGGGAATCTGACGGCAAGGGGTGCGTAGCTAAAAAGTCAGCCAAGGCTTGGCCTTTGATGGCTTTCTGTGGCACATAGGTGATGTCAAATTCCATCAATAGCAGTTACCACTTCGCCTGACGCCCTAAGAAGCAGGGGCGTGACATAAGGAACTTAATTGGATCAGCCCGTGAAATGAGCTGGACTTCTTTGGCAATAAAATAATGACAGAGCTTTTGGATTGCGAAGATTAAGGCTAGGCAACATCTTCTCGATCAGAGAGTAATTCTTCTCGGCCCCTTGCATCCTGTGACTGAGGTAATACAAAGCAGTTTCTTTCCCTTCTTCATTATGCTGCGCAAGGAGTGCACCAAGTGACTCGTTGAGTGCGGTCACGTATAAGATGAGGGGCTTCCTAGACACAAAAGTAGATAGCACCGGGGGGTTCAGCAAAGAAGTCTTGATGTCTTCCAGGGCTAATTCACATGTTTCATCCCGCTCAAAGGGTGCATCTTTCCTCAACAGGCGTGTAAAGGGTCTACAACGTCCTAATAGATTGACAATGAATCTCCGGATGTAAGCAAGCTTGCCTTGAAGAGACCTAAGCTCTCGGAGATTTGTTGGTGGCTACATCTCTTGAATTGCTTTAATCTTAACAGGCTCGATCTCCAATCCTCGATACCTGACATTGAACCCCAGAAACTTCCCTGATTGCATGCCGAAGGCGCACTTAAGGGGGTTTATCTTGAGCTGATGAAGACGAAGCCGCTCAGACTTCCGTTCGAGGTCTCGAATGTGGGTCTCCCTCTCTTCCGACTTCACCACCAGGCCGTCAACGTAGCATTCTACCTCTTTATGCAACATGTCATCAAAGATAGTAGTCATGGCTCGCTGATATGTGGCACCTGCATTCTTAAATCCGAAGGGCATCATTGTGTAACAGAAAACTCCTTTAGGGGTCAAGAAAGAAGTAGCCTCTCGTCTTCATGTGCCATTCTTATATGAATCTTGAATACCCATCCATGAAGGAAAAGGCTTGACAATGAGCTGTGGAATCAATGAGCATCTCGGTGAAGGGAAGTGGAAAATCATCTTTTGGGCATGCGGCATTCAGATCGCGAAAGTGAATGCATACTCTGATTTGGCCATTTTTGTTCTTGACTGATACGACATTGGTCAGCCACTTTGGGTATTTGATTTCTCGGATGAAGCCTGCTCCCTTGAGCCCGCTTACCTCAGCATCAATCCCTTGAGCCTGCTTACCTCAGCCTGCTCCCTTGAGCCTTCTTGACTTCTGCTTCATTGGTTTAAAAAGATGAATCAATAACAATTCGATGGACTGCAATCTGATGGTCAAGACCGAGCATCTAATGATTGTGCCAGGCGAAGACGTTTCGAATTGCTTGTAAGAAGATGGCATACTCCTTTTCTTCCAATGACAAGATAGCTGAAATGAAGGTTGGCCTTGGGTCGGTGTCATCGCCAGATTTATCTCTTCTAAATCGTCGGTCGTGGCCTGTTTGCCATCTTCCAATACCTCGATGGCTTCTTCAACCCCTACCTGATCGGCTATTAGAGGATCAGAGGTCCCTGCCCCAACTTTGAATGCTTCCATTATTTGACCAAGAGTCATGGACTCCTTTGGCATTCCTACTTCGACTGAAGTCTTAGTAATGCAAGACATAGCAGTTATCTCAACTTCTCGGATGACCTGAGAAGGGTCGGTATCAAGAAGAGGGGAATCAAAAATGAGGGGGATGGGTTGATGAAGACTTGGGTCAAAAGGAAAAGGTTTGGATGGGTTGATGAAGACTGGTGAAGGTTATCTTGAGAAAAGGGAAGCTAACGAAGTGAAGGGGATGGGGGTGAAGGTTCAGAAGAGAGTGATGATGAATATAGAAAAGGGATTGGGGTGAAGGTTCAAAAGAGAAGGAAGAAGCAAAGGTATTAGAACTGGAACAAAAGAGAAAGCAGAAGACTAGAACCCTAAGGCTCGAACTCAAACTTCGGAGTGAAGCTTTGATTTTTGATGCCTCAACTGAGTGACTAAGCCCCTATTTATTGAGGAGAAGAGGCGGACTTCAAACCCTTATAACTCATGTCAATTCCACAATCATGGAGGTGGGTGAACCATTATTGGGGCAGGTAAGCAATTATTGCTGTTGGTTAGCAATAATGGAGGCCTGTGAGTAATTATGGAGTCTGTTGAGGTATCCAGTGAACAATTATGGCTGTAGGTGAGGTGTCAGGTAACTCATAATTGCGGCAGGTGTACAATTATGGCGTGATGCCATTTGGACTCTGTAATGCACCGCAGATATTTCAGAAATGGATGGATGGTATTTTTCCAGACCTAAATTATTTTTGTGCTGTTTACATAGGTGACATTTTAGTGTTTTTTAAAAACCTAGAAGAACACCAAAATCATCTCAAAATTGTTTCTAGAAAATTTCTTGAGTACTTCGACTGGAGTCTCAGTAATGCGAGACAACAGTTATCTCGACTTCTCGCATGACCTAAGAAGGGTTGGTATCAAGAAGAGGGGAATCAAAAGACGCGGGGGATAAATCTTGGGAAGTTTGGATGGGTTGATGAAGACTTGGGTCAAAAGGAAAAGGCTTAGGTGATGAGGGGGAAGGGTCTTGAGGAGCTTGGGTTGACTGGTGAAGGTTATATTGAGAAAAGGGAAGTTCACGAAGTGAAGGGCATGGGGGTGAAGGTTCAGAAGAGAGTGATGATGAATTGGGAAGGGCCACCATACTGATTGTATGGCAGGCTTCACACTTTTGGGCAGAAGAGTGAGCAGCTCCGGTATATCCTACCGCCTTTCTTACGTCGTATTGGGCAGCAGCTACCTCAACGGTTTTGAATGGAGCAACCACCCCTTTTCCATCTTTTAGTCCTTGATTGGTCATGGGCACATAATTCATCTTCCTCATGATTTGATGGGCTTGGTGACTATAGAGATCCCATTC